AAGTTGCCACATTATCTCAGAAATCACTACCTACAAAATTAACAGGTGTGAAAGATTTCCTATTCTGACAATAATCATATAAAGCTAAGATAAACCACCTGAGATACGACACCTTCGTCAAGTGGTTCACCCAGTTACTGCTAGAGAGGTTCTTAAGTCACTCCTTCGTCGGTAGTGTAAGCTATCAAATGTCGTCACTTATGTAGAGGAACATGACATAATGGTAAGAGTTATTATCTTTGTGTTGTGGCTGACACGCACTAGACACGCCTCATATAAAGGTTGTCCTCACAGATACATTCATATATAGTGTCTCTTGTAATGTCTCCTAGTCTCTCATATTGTCTTTTAGTCTCCCATAGTCTCCCATAGTCTCTCATAGTGTCCCATAGTCTCTCATAGTCTCCCATAGTCTCTCATAGTCTCCCATAGTCTCTCATAGTCTCTCATAGTGTCACATAGTCTCTCATAGTGTCCCATAGTCTCTCATAGTGTCCCATAGTCCTCATAGTCTCTCTCCCATACATAGTCATAGTCTCTCATAGTGTCTCTCATAGTAATAGTCTCTCATAGTGTCCTAGTCTCTCATAGTCTCTCATAGTGTCTTTTACCCATAGTCTCTCATAGTGTCCCATAGTCTCTCATAGTCTCTCATAGTGTCCCATAGTCTCTCATAGTCTCCCATAGTCTCTCATAGTCTCTCATAGTGTCCCATAGTCTCTCATAGTGTCCCATAGTCTCTCATAGTGTCCCATAGTCTCTCATAGTCTCCCATAGTCTCTCATAGTCTCTCATAGTCTCCCATAGTCTCTCATATTCTCTCATAGTGTCCCATAGTCTCTCATAGTGTCCCATAGTCTCTCATAGTGTCCCATAGTCTCTCATAGTCTCCCATAGTCTCTCATAGTCTCTCATAGTGTCCCATAGTCTCTCATAGTGTCCCATAGTCTCTCATAGTCACTCAGAGTCTCCCGTAGTCACTCATAGTCTCCCACAGTCTCTCATAGTCTCCCATAGTCTCCCATAGTCTCCCTTTTATCTCTCATAGTCTCTCCTGTGTCTCTCTCTCTCTCCCTACTCGCTGGTTTAATAAGGGAGTAATCTAAATGGTAAAAATACAAGGTTTGTCAGTTAGGTTATCAGAGCTTATTGAGCCGCGATGAGCGAGTTTCATGGTGTATTCTCAGATTCATTTAATGTTACTGGATTAAGGAACGATTTTATAAGTAAGTAACATTCATTAGTGAGTTCCGTAGGTGTTAATGTAACGCCCAAATATCATGAAACACGGAGCTATATTTTATGATTTATTTTACTATTATAAGCTAAAGTAGGTAATCACTAGCCATTTTATAGTGTAAATCGCGATATTGGGGTAAATATGAATGTTTTTTTTTAGTATTTTATCGTAATGTTTAAGTCGAGGTTCATACCATATTACAGTGTTTAATTCATTACGAGTTCTTATAGTTTAATTTCTATATAAACTTACACCATAAAAAATTGTTGATATAAAAAAAAAATCCTTTGATCTATAATTGTACTGGAACATATTTACCTAGTTTGTTCATTACTGTTGACTAGAGTACAAACTGTGAAAGCCTCTCGCTGCTGACGTCACTCCACCACCGAGAGATTGACAGAGTTTGCCAAGTTCTTATTTACTGGAGCAATTTTTTACACTAATCCAAATTTTGTTCTTTAAATCATATCCATTATATTGACAGTACCAGCAATAAATATAAAAACAATATGGTGTAAATGCTTTTGTGTTTTTAAATTATCAATGAATTTGGGTAGTAGTAGGCAGTTACCAAACAGGGAGGTACTGCCGCCTGGGAAGATATTGGAAGCATAATGTGTTGTCTAAGGGTAGACCCTGCTGCCATATGGCATCACAAAGATTCTGACCAAGTCCCAGGTTGCTGATCTGACTTTTTGCCTCATTTGCACACAATTGCAGGGTCTCAATTGTTTCTCTTACTTTGACAACACAACATACATATATTGTTTCTCACTTTTGACCTTTTTTTTTATTTTTTATTTCCTTATTATTATTATTATTATTATTATTATTACATTTTCGCCTCCCAGGCCCTGATGTGGGTCAGTGACCTGTGCCCGGGTAGGCTAATCCCCGTAAAAATAAAAAATAAAAAATATATAAAAAATATTAAATAAAAATGTAAAGCACTATTTATCGCCTTACTGATATAAAGACAAAAATATTTGTAATGGTTTAAACAATTATTAACGTTGATATAGGAGGAACGCACACACTGAGGGGCCTGACAGCCTATACACCTGAGTATATAATTCCTAACTTCTTCAGGTACTAATGATCAGCAGGGCCGGCGCTACCCACTAGGCGAACTAGGCGATCGCCTAGGGCGCCAACATCTGGGGGCGCCACAAATTCAGGGCAAACTTGGATAAAATTAAAAATGAAGGGAAAACTGTGGTGAACACTGTGGTGGAGCCGTGGAGGGTCGGAGCAGGATGTTAGAAGGGGGGGGGGTCGGAGGGAGGCGAGGGTAGGTAGACGGTAGCCGACTGTGTTTTCTTTTTTAATATTATTCGTTAACCCCCCGGAGGGACTAACCCGGGTCCTTATCTTTGGCGGCCTGGAGAACTGTCGAGCAGTGACCTGAAGGCTGACATCTGAGGAACCCTTCTCCCAACCCCACCATCCCCTCCCCTCCCTTACTGCCAGGGCGGCTGAGCCGCCCCTTCCCTGTCTTTGTCGGGATGAGGCAAGGTTACCTGACCTCTGAAGTTTACGTCAAGGATTTATTGACTTAATGTAATAACAATAATTGGTTATTTGCATGGGTGAAGTAATAAAGCCACAAGATGAAAACAATGTAGTAATGGGTTACTGTACCTACATTAGCTTATCAAAACTTTCAAGGGGGCGCACATCTAAAGGCTTGCCTAGGGCGCCAAATCATCTTGCACCGGCCCTGATGATCAGGTGTTCCAATATCAATATCAATTTAATTTATCTTTACCAAAATTATATATAGAAAACTGAAAATCCTTTAAATAACTACTACTACTGCTGCTTGTTTTCATAATTAATCTCTATCGTAAATTCATCTCAGATTATCACATTATAAGACAAATGCCATGATAGTCAGTTTAAGGTGTCTATGTATTACCTCTCCTACGCGTGGAATAGATTAAAATAAAATAAAACATCAGTAGGAATGGCTAGGGGAGAGAGTATGTTGGAGCGAGCGGCGGTAGAGACTGAACCAACAACATGACCCACCCCCACATACACTTCATCATAATCCTCAACTTGCAAAAAAGACAAAGTTATTTTTTTTTATAACTCACAATGATTACACGCTTCATATCAGTGATGTGTGTAATTTGTGTACTAAGTTAAAACTTTTCAGGTTCGTTCATGCCAAGAGTAATGCTGATACGATAATGACGCCGCTGTGTACGATGGTTGATGTATTGGTTAACTTAATACGTCTTCTTACAGTATTATCGGAGACAAGAGTATACACTATAAGAATCTGCTCTTCAGGTTCTCAGGTTCCTGGTACCACAAAGTTCAGTGGTTCGGCATAACGATCATTTCTTTAAGCCAAACTCTCTCTCGTTCAGTTGTCACTTTTTGCCTGAAAATTTCGTCATCTGGGATATTAATGTCTTCTAAAAGCTAACGAGTGATTAACAACAGCGGTATTGTCCTTTAGTTGTTTATTATACTCGGTTTTGTGTGGATTGGAGCCAAGTTTACCTACCAGCAGAGCAATACAATATGGCTGGCCTGAAACAGTCTTAGTTAAGTAAAATAAGAGGGTGTGTTGGTTGTTCTGCAAAAACCTCTTAATAGTCTTAGCCGGGCGGACCTCGTCTCCCCACAGGCAGTCACCCACCCGGAGTGGCATAAAGACGACAGACTCATCTCGTTATCTTACCTACTTTATCTGTGTGTCTGTCTCTCTCTCTCTCCCTACCTCCCACTTTATTTCTTCATCTTGGGTCTTTTGTGGTCAGAATCCATCTTGCACACTTGGTCTCCTCCCCACATGGTCATACTACAGGCTGGATGACCCAACTTGCCCCTGTTCACCGCTAATTAAGTTTTTACGGCTCCCCTAAACCCCGAACAGCCGACGCCAGCGCCACTAACTACCAGCTGTGACTCCCGCCACCTGCCACCTGCAGCTAAAAAGGAAAGCAAAAAGTAGCTGGGAAAAACCTAGAGAATTTTTTCCCCTCGATACAGAGAGACTTTCTCCTCCAGAGTTTTTTTTTTAACAGAAAGTCACGCGGCCGCCGTTGTTCTCTCTCTCTCTCTCTCTCTCTCTCTCTCTCTCTCTCTCTCTCTCTCTCTTTGTTTCTTACGCGAAATCTAGACGTTTTCCTTTATCATTTGTTTAGTTATTCATAAATGAAAGTTAAGAAGTATTAATACTTTCATACTGGGTCAAAAGTTTTATAATATTCCTGAAATAACCAAAATTATGTAAAGAATTAGCTAAACATTTTATAATTTCCAATGTTAGCAGGAAGGCGTAAAGTGATCCGCTTATACAGTATAGTCCATAAACATGAATGCTTATATATATACACTCTGGCATTATTGTATTATATTGTATTGTATTGTATTCTGGATGTTAATCGATTTGCGGATCGTATTCCGGGGTAATGGTTAGCCAGTGCAGTTGGTGAGTTGTCCGGTCTTCTCGGACTATTCCTTGACACTGAGTCATGCAACTCGTTAACTCAGGGTGTGGTTGTTGTGTTGGCGACAGCTTCTACACCTTAAACAAATTCACGCCTAGGTGGCCATAGGGTCGGCCATCCTCGTTACACAAGGGCCAACCATTTATTCTAATAATTGAGTCACGTAGCGTAATTGTACCTTGAAACGAACTCAAAGTCCTGTTACGTCTTGCTGCTGCTGCTGCTAGAGACAGACACTTCCTGTGAAAGAGTTAAGCTCATCCTGCTGAAATTACGGCAAGGATACCGAGATGCTTCTGAGCCAAACTAGACTAATGCCCAAGCTGGTATATCCCACTGGAGAGGATGTGTGAGTCTCAATGTAAGGTCTTTCATGCCTGACGGCGTTGAGTCAAAGGTAAGCAAAAGTGTATTTACCTGCTCCAATACCACAACCTAACCTAACCTGACCTAACCTAACCTAACCTAACCTAACCTAACCTAACCTAACCATACTTGAATACTTCTTCCATACAATCAGAAATATATTGAAAACAAAAATCTAAATCAAGATTATATTAACTCTTAGCTCTTATCTCAAACTTCCTTATAGAGACAAGACCTAACAAAACTTTACTTACAAAACACACTGTACATATAACCCGTGTAGGATCAACAGTTTACCAAAATCATAGGAAAAATCTACTAAAATTTGAGTTTTGTTTTCGTGAGCTTTTGATAGTCATAGATTGAAGGCTTATGCTTTTATTAGATTATTATATTGTTATTTAATTTTCTCTATCTCTCATTTCTTGCGTTATTTATTTTTATCGTTATTGTATTATTTTTACTCTCTCTCTCTCTCTCTCTCTCTCTCTCTCTCTCTCTCTCTCTCTCTCTCTCTCTCTCTCTCTCCTCTCTCTCTCTCTCTCTCTCTCTCTCTCTCTCTCTCTCTCTCTCTCTCTCTCTCTCTCTCTCTCTCTCTCTCTCTCTCTCTCTCTCTCTCTCTCTCTGCCCACTTGTTCCAGCACATTTTACCGTCCAGCGATTGAAAGATTTATTGTATATTCAGTCCACATTGTAGGGCCGGCCGTGGGTCAAGATATTCCCCTACACTATTTCCTCTTTCCTTACGCCTATATGGCCGCCCCAACCTGGCCCCCCCTACCTGGCCCCCTACCTGCCCCCCTACCTGGCCCCCTACCCCCTACCTGGCCCTACCTGGCCCTACCTGGCCCCCTGCCTAGCCCCCTACCTGGCCCCCCTGACCCCCCTACCTGGCCTCCTACCTGGCCCCCCTGGTCCCCCTACCTACCTGGCTCCCCTACCTGGCTCCCCCTACCTGGCTCCCCTACCTGGCTCCCCCTACTGGCTCCCCCTACCTGGCTCCCCCTACCTGGCCCCCCCTCTTGATTCTCGTATATCCTCTGAATACATGCATGTTCTCTTTTACTCTTTCATTCCCCTGCACCTCTATCAGTATCCTCTTATGTATCCTCTGTTTGTCTTGCAATTTCATCCATGCTGTTTCTCTGCAATTTTGCGTTTACCTCTGCAATTTTGTAATTTCTCTTATAATTTCCTCTTTTAATTTTATCTTATAATTTCCCCTCTTTGTTCTTTTAATTTCTCTTTGTTTTCTGCAATTTCTTTTGTTTCCTTGTTATCTCTGCTGTTTATCCTGAATCTCTGCAGTCTCACTGAACTCCTGCACCAATTTCTCTTGTTGCTCTGTTTACCTAATAAATTTTTCCTACAATTTTTACTCTTTGCAATTCCCTGCCTTCCTATCCAGCATACTGCCTTTCTCTTTATTTAATTTTTATTTTCAATTTTCTTTCTGTTTGCCTACACCATTTACTTTTCTTATTTTCTTATTTCTGCCTCTTACTATTTACTCTTGTTTCTGTTCTCGTTTTCTGTTTCTATAATTTTCCTCTTAATTTCTGTTCTCTGTAACTTTTCATTTCTGTTCTCTTAATTTCTCTGATTTCTCTTGTATTTCTTATTTCTTTTAATTTTTCTCACATAATTTTCTGTAATTTCCTCTATATTTTACTCTTATAACTTCCTTTTCTTTTTCTTTAGTTTCTCTTTTAATTTCTCTTATAATTTCTCTGTAATTTCTCTTTTAATTTCTCTTGTATTTCTGTAACCTCTTATAATTTCTCTTTTAATTTCTGTTTCTTGAATTTTACTCTTGCAATTTTCCCCTCTTAATTTCTCATATTTTTATCTTTTAATTTCTCTTAATTTCTTAACTCTGTATTTCTCTTGTTTTCTCTTTAATTTCTTGCAATTTCTCTTGTAATTTTATACAATTTCCCTCTTAATTCCTCTTATTTTATATTCTATTTTATCATAGTTTCTAGTTTTCTTAATTTTCTCTGATTTCTTATAAATTTTCTTGTAATTTCTCTAATTTCTCTTGTAATTTTATAACATAGTTCCTCTTTAATTTTTGTTATAATTTCTCTTGTAATTTCTTTACCCTCTTATATTTAAACCTGTTTTATAACTTTTCTTGTAATTTTATAATTTCTGCAATTTTACAATTTTACTTAATTTCTTGTAATTTCTTGTAATTTTACCTCATAATTTCCTCTTTAATTTTCTTTTAATTTCTTACCAATTTTCTTTAATTTCTACACAACCCCCTACCTGACCCCCCCCTACTGGCCCCCTACCTGCCCCCCCTACCTGGCCCCCCTACCCCCCCTACCTGGCCCCCCACCAGCCCCCCCTACCTGTCTGGCCCCCCTACCTGCCCCCTACCTGGCCCCCCTACCCGCCCCACTGGCCCCTACCCCCCCCCTACCTGGCCCCCCTTACCGGCCCCCTTACACAGCCAACCCACCCCCTGGCCCCTACGTGAAACAAGTGCCCCCTATCAACGCTATTGTCCATTTGTGGTAAATTGTGTCGCTTCAGGATAAAAAAAAGATATATGATTTGAAGTCTTATTTCTAAGTTATCCTCAAATTTTACCTTTCCAAACTTTTGTGTTTTAGCGCATTTTTGCCATATATAACCAGGAATTGAATATACTCCTCCGTTATATACTCCACACTCCGTTATATACACCACACTCCGTTATATACTCCACACTCCGTTATATACTCCACACTCCGTTATATACTCCACACTCCGTTATATACACCACACTCCGTTATATACTCCACACTCCGGTATATACTCCACACTCCGTTATATACTCCACACTCCGTTATATACTCCACACTCCGTTATATAACCTGGGTAAAAAGTCACTCAGAATACCTCCCTGACCATAAACAAAAACTCCTACAATTTATAACATCATACAGTATATACTTTTAACATGGGATATATTTCGAATCATTTATTTCCTCCCCTTGAGTTAAAAAAAAATTCTCATTGAAGTAATTTTTATTTTTTAATTTAACTCTTTGGAAAGGACATCCAGTGGTTAACATAATATAACTAAATATGACATATATTCCCGCGTTATAAAAAAAAAAAATCTTAATAATATTTAGAAAACCATTGAAAAACTCCAGCAAAATTATTAATCATTCACGATGACACGAAATGTTACGCGGTGAAAAAAATTAATAAAAAAAAATGATGAAAATGATATGAACTGGATTTAATAAAGATAGACTAGATATTTACAGAAGCTGGTGTAATTTTTCACGTTGGTTGATGTTGTCATAATGGAACCGGAGAGTTTTATTCATTCAAATGTTAATGTTGGAGTTTTTTATTTCTTCTTATCTCTTTGCCCTAGATAGGTTAGCTGATAGCACATACAGGGTGTGTGTGTGTGTGTGTGTGTGTGTGTGTGTGTGTGTGTGTGTGTGTGTGTGTGTGTGTGTGTGTGTGTGTGTGTGTGTGTGCACGATTGATCATAACTGTTTGCCGTGTGTGTACCCTCATGTGTATATTTTTGGCTAATATTTAAGAGAATTCAGCCGTAAAGACTTACTGACTCCTGCTATACACACTTTATCCTTCAATTTATTACACAAAGACCACTAAGACCTTATGTATGAAAGTTGTATTTGGTCTCTGTAAACAATTTCAAGACTAATACCTTTAATAAGACTGGGGTACAATGATCACGCCGAAAATAAAAACGCATACATCTTTTCCCCAATAATTCACCTGGGGGTCAACTTCAGCTTATCGGGAAAAATTCTCAGATTAAAACTGCTCCAGGTAATCATTATAACCCAACACGAAATTAAAATCTTTACATGAGTTTTGCCAGACAGGTGAAGGTAAAAATCACTAATGGTCTTTGTCACCGGGATTATCGTGAATTTCTTAATGGTATTGGCTGCTTCGATTAACAGAAGGGGAAATAAGTTTACTCGGGGCATTTTTCGATATTGGATACACCAGAACATCAATTACTGGCATCTCCGGGGGCGGCCGATAACCTTTCCCGTCCGAGTGAGAGAGACGCGGGGTTGATTTCCTCAGATACTTGACTTAAATTATGTTTTAAGCCTGGTAACGTTTTTTCCTTTGGGTCATAACACTTGTACATGGTTTCCAATATGTTTCCTATATGTAAAGTCTGAAATAAACACAATACTCAAGACTCAAAATCAGATTGAAATGTTTATTGAGAATCTACTTGTATGGAAGACTTTCATATATAAACACTTTAGGTTGACATTCATCACTTAACTCCGAAAACAAAAGATAGACAATTTTTACATTACTCAGAGATTTTCTTGCATAAACACATAAAATTAAATGTATGTTATCTACAATATTTAGACACAACAGTACAGATATAATTATAATTAGAGAAGTAATGGCGAACGTAATGAAAATATATATACAGTAATTATATTGTTCAGGTAACTCCCAGGTAGAAAACACTAATAGGATTAAGGTGTGTCTAGCTTCCTATAGCCAGGTAATACCGGAAGTGTACAAGGGAAAGTCTCTGTACCACCAAGAGATCTAACCTCACCTAACCTAACCTAATAGAACTAAGGGCCCATTTGACCAACCACCTCGTGCCAACTCTTCATTATGACCTCATTAGAAGCCAAAGTTATTTACTCAATCTTATGTCATTAATAATAGCATTTAGGAAGGCTTCATGTCCTCATTAAGGTATTATTATTTTTAATGATTTAATTCCTCGTTATTAAGGTCAGTGTGAGTGAGTGGTGATGGGGGGGGAATTAAGTCACGTCCTGCGCCTTAGAGGGTTATTAGGCCAGCGAAGAGAGAGAATAATGATGATGATGATGATGATTTTTAGAAATGATGTCTGTGAGAGTGTATGGGCAAGGAAAGAGGAAAAGGGAGATGAAGGAGGGGGAGAGAAGAAAGAAGAGATGGAGAAGAGGGAGTAGAAGGAAGAAA